GTGAGGTTTAATGTGTTGGCTGCATGTGTGTGTGCTGAATATGTGAGTGTGTGTGTGTGCTGAATGTGCGTGTGGTGTGTATGCAGTGTGTGGTTGTGTGTTTATATGTGTGAATTTGGGGAATTTTGGCCAAAGGTATAAATATGTGGTAAATTGTGATATTTGTGTGATTTTGTGTCACTTGATTGATATTTGTGATGTTCAATGACTTTACGTAATTTGTAGTCATTCCATGACATGCATTTGCTTTTGACAAAATTGAAAGATTAATGGAATGTTTGGGTAATAAACGAATCGGATACGGTGGGCCGGTATCCAACTAGGGTTGAGAGGAGTGATACGAGTGATATGAGTGATATTGGATCCATAGACGGGCTCGAAACGGTTTATTATCCGAATATAGAAATTAATCTTTCACGGATCCGATAAATGAAAAAAATGATTTTTACACGGATTGCATTCATGAGCATGTTTGTGACTTATATGCTTTAGTACTTTTTGACTTGATTCTTGTTTGATGTTTGTATGACTCGGTGAAGGTGATCGGAATGTTATATATACTATATATATGTATAACCTATTTTCAACCCTCGGTAATTCCTCGAGTTTCTTACTGAGCTTAATAGCTCATATAGATATTTTCTAATTGCAGGTAGTGCTAGTGCTAACCCTCCCCCGGAATGGACCGAGTAGTGGATCGAAGTCTTGCCCGGAGTTTTTGGAAGTTCGAACGAGGGTTCTATAAGTGTGGCTAAGTACTATTTTGGTGATGTAATATAAAGTAACTTCCGTTTTCGTTTACTATCGTACTCGTTTTTTAAAGCACGGGACTTTAATCGGTAACGGATCCTATTTTGAACTCCATAATATATTGATCCGTTTATGTTTATGAATAGTTCGTATATTTCATGATTTTATCGTTTATCGCCAAAATATTTCTAAACTCTGATTTTAATTTCGAACCTATGTTTTATGATAGTGTAGCACTCGATTAAACTCCTTCTCAAAAAGGTTCAAGCTTTTCAAAACAATGTTGCGAAAATTACTAGAATTCTAAATATTCAAGTATGGTTTTAAAATCGAAAGTGTTAATTTTTCGTGTTTTCAAAGTGATCCTATAAGTTGCTTCCGCTAAATCAATTAATTCCGATAAACTGGTTCGATTTATCGCCTATAATAGAGGGGGTGCTACATTAAATCTATTCCAAAAGCTCTCCCAACTATGTCGTCCAACAAAAGAGGCCGCACGAGCGAAGCATCATCCTCCAAAGGGAAGGGAAAAGGCAAGAAAGGTGCCACCAAAACGACGATTCCTTTCCCCGAAAAGGAAGCCTTTAGTGTCGAAGGCGCCACGGCTCTATTCCTTAAACAAGCCAATAAGACCGTCATCACGGAACGAGCATTGAAAATCACCTTACCACACTTTGCCAACCTTAGTCAAGAAATTATAAGACGAGGGTGGCAAAATATGTGTGAACCAGAGCCAATCTACAATATCTCAATCGTCCGGGAGTTTAATGCTAACACGTTGGCAATCAAGCATCCATTTCATGCCACAAGTGTAGTACGAAAAATACATGTCACGCGGGAGACGGACGATATCAACCAATACTATGGATTCCCGGACTTAAGTCAAAGATGGCGAGAGATGAGAGATGCAGTCAGCCAGTCACCAAAGAGCAAATTGGTGAAGTGTTGAGTGATGGACATCCAACGTGGATTGAATACCCGGACAAGGGGACGTATGAGCTCAGTTGGAAGAGCATCAATTGTGAAGGCAAGGCATGGTTTACGTTCATTTGCGCCAACGTGATCCCGACTACCTGTTTTAGTCGGATCAACCACGAACGTTGTGCTCTCGACTATTACATCATCACGGGGCAAACGGTCGATGTCGGGGCAATTATGCACGATCAACTTTTGCTGACCATCCGCGACAATTCATAGGGAATCTTCTTCCCTAGCCTCGTCATAGGATTGTGCAAAAGAAAGAAGGTCTCCAAGGTGCCGAATGATATCGAACTCACCATCCCGAAGCCGATTGCCAATTTTGCAGCCTCGCAATTCAAAGAAACAACCCATAACGAGCCACAAGCCTTGGCCGAAATTGCAGCGGCTCCTCAAGCTCCCGTGCCGATCGACGATTCCGAAAGAAGATGGAGCGCGAGATGATACTTATGAGGAACCGGTTGACTACCGTCGAGCATAAAGTCAATATGGTGGAGGCACTTCAACAATGGTCGAGCAAGATGCTACAAGCTATCGTCCAGCACTTGGGATGCGGGACGCCCGGTTGTATCGAGCCGGCACCTTTACCGGCTCCCATTCTTGATCCCTTGCCCGAGCTTCCGATGATGAGGAGCATGAGAGAGCTAGGGAGGAGCACATCGATCACATCGACTTCGATTAGCCAGGTGTTTTCTATCCTTAAACTTTGTGCTAATTTCGTCGAGGGCAATGAAAATTTTAAGTTTGGGGGTGAAAAACATGTTTTTGTGTTTATTTGCTTTAGTCTGCATGCATTAGGTTTTGTTTATTTAGGTTTATTGCTTTTAGCGTTTTTTTCCGGATTATTAGAAAAAAAAAAACATGCTTGAGTCGAGTGCATCGATGATTTATGATGACGAGAGATGATCAATGTTTGATGATGAGATTGCTTGTTTTGTATGATAAGGATTAGATGTTTGTTTAGCTTTCGATTCAACGAAACTTAGAAACGAATTATTGCTAGGAATCACACTTTGTGCATTGCTTTGGTTGAATTTTTTGTATTTTAAATTTGGAATTAATTTGTGCTAGATCATGCTAGGTTAGGTTTTAAGACTCACCTTAGAAAATTTATGATACGGAGTATTGAGTAGTGAGTAATTTGGTATATGATTTGTGCCTTCCTTGAACAGTTTGAGCTATTCAAGCCGACATTTTTTATCGAAATTATCATTATAACCTTGATTTGAGCCTCAGAGAAAAGGTGTTCTTTCTTTTAGCCAATGTGTATAAGGTAGAATATATGGAGATTCGTGAAAAAATAACAATTGGAGTTCGGTTGAAATTTTTTATAAGGTCCTTATTCTTCTTCTTCAAAAAAAAAAAAAAAAAAAAAAAAGAAGAGACTACAAGGGAGAAGTAAGGACTAATTGTTGAATTGTTTTGAAAGCTCGATCTATTGTCTTAAGAGCAAAAGTGGAAACTTTTGAACTCTTAAGAATCAAGTTTATTAAAGTCCTTAGAGGTGAATTCATTGTTGCAAACGCCTATCTTTCAATTTTGGCGTAATCACCCCAATTCAAGAAGAATAGCCACATATACCCATATTTCCTACCTCGAACCAAAGAGCCTAACAATTGAAAGCCAAAAAGCCCCAATGATCCCAATACCTTAATGATCGATATTAGTAGAGTAGAAGAATTTGGTGAGTATTTGGAGTCAAATATGTACATGTAAGCATAAATTCTTTCTATATTTAATTTACAAATATTGGATGCTTGAAGCAATTGTATGATCTGTGGTTTTTGGCAAGGGTAAGTGACTAAGTGTTGTTGAATTTTGAGCTTGAGAATGCCTAAGAATTGTCATTATAATTACAAGTTCTGAAAACGTGAAGTTGATCATTGATCTATGTAATGAGATGTACTAGCTAAGTTATTTGCTTATGAGTAGATTTTGCTTGAGGACAAGCAAAAGTTCAAGTTTGGGGGTGTGTTAAGTGTATATTTTTACACTTAATCGTACCTTTCAATTGAAGCTTTTGGTGTGTTTTAATGAAAATTGGTGCTTAAAATGTTGATTTATTGTATTTTAGGTATATATAGAAGAATTGGAAAAGTATGGGGTAAAAACTGCAATTTTTGAGAAGATATGGGCCAAAAGTGAAGAAGTCAAAAATCTGAAGAATTACAGCCCAGACAGCCGTCCGAGTTTTAGAACAAAATTTGGGACGGCCGTCCGTGATAACGAAAAGGCGCAGTAAAGGGATTCTAATTGCACAAGGAAACTTCTCCAAGTTTTCCACCCTATATACGACCAAGCCAAGCACACAATTGGAGATCCATCTTTTACGCAATTTCAAGAGCAACGAAGCAATAACGAAGACGAAGAATTCGAAGATTACAAGCATAATTTATCTTTTCATGATTTTTTTTTTACTATAATCATGAGTACCTAATTTACTTATTTCTATGATTTTATTTTGAACCCTATGTGGGATTTATGAACCCAATTTTATGATTTTATGCATGTTTTAATTCCGGACTATTTCTTCTACTTGTTTTATTAAGTGCGTGAACTTGATTACCTTATGTGCTTTTATGTTATTGTTAATCGCATAATCGGATTATTAATTAGAATTGTTGTAGAAGAGCCTTTGTGGCATTAACATTGGAATATTGTTAATCTCTTAGGTAGCCATTATTGAGATTTGTGCTTAATGATGTGTTCTAAAATTAATTGCGTAGGAATACATTAATTGAATCTAGAGTATTAGAATTGTAATCACTACAACAAAATGTAGCTATTACGACATAAGATTGGGGACATTTTTTTATAAATGCCTCAAATATAATTTGTTGGGACACTTGATAAAATTTTCTTATTTATAAGATATATAGGGGCATTTATTTTTTTAGGACATATTTTTATAAATGCCTCAAATATAATTTATAAGGATATTTAGTTTTTTTTAATTAATTTTAAAACCTATAGGGACACTAATTGAATATATGCAATTTATGCAATAAAAAAATACAATATATGCAATTTATTATTCCACATATATCCGTAATTGAAAAGGTCAAGAGAAGATGGCTTGGTGGGCCATAGTCTTAGTGGGGCTATGCATATACACATTACGGAGATACTAAAAGTATACCGCCAATACTTCGCGGTATTTTAGTTTTCCCCAATTCTCTTCCCAAATACACCGTATTTCTCAAAAAAAACCCTGCGTCTTCCTTCCAACAACGACGGCCTTCATCTTTTTTTTTTTTTTTTTATTTCACCAGCAACAACGAGAAAGAGAAGATTCTAATCGAGTTCTGAAGTAATTTGGGCACTGATTTTTCTTTACGGTAATTGAGATTGAAATTTATCCCTCCGATTTTCAATTCCCAGTAATTAAATTAGAAGCCCTAAATTGTGATTTTGTAGTTTATATAAGTTTGTATGTATGTATATGTATAAATTGAAAATAGAAATAACAATATGCTAGAAATTAATTCTCATGTCAACCTCTGTGATTTTCCGAAAAAGAGGTTGGGAAATTGTAGGAGAAAAATACTAGTTTTTTCATAAAAGTTCTATAAAGAAATTATTTGTTTTTCTGGACATGTGAAGAAGAATGACTTTCTAATGTGGTACTCTTTTCCTTTTTTATTCTTGACTGGTGTGATTTTCCTAGACAAAGCATTATATATATTACTATTTATTTCATCTTACATCCATCTTTCCTGTATGAATATATGTATATATGTTTCTGTAATGTCATCTGTGTACTTAATTTTGATAGTACTAGCTGATAAAATTTTCTATCAGTAAAAAGTTCAACATCGATAATTTCGATGATTTATTTATCTTAAACTAACTAATTGTATATTACGTGATTCTACCAGGGATTCGTTATAGTATTTATCCTACTTGTTATATCTATTTTTCGTTTGGGAGAAGTGATAATAACACATCTATGTTAAATAATTGTAGGGGTTACGCATCGCTCTGAAGTTTTTGATCGTGGAATAAGTATTACGGCTGTTCAGGTTCGTGTTTTTTTATCACAATGATGTTTTATTTTTCAATAAGGTACATTTGGACTATCATAACCTTCTTGCGTAAAATGTGTTCTATAAGATAAGTTTGGTATAATAAGAAGCAACATCTAGGGTGACATATATATTTTCATCTAGATCCAAACTTATCAGTACCTTAGTTTCTTAACGTTACTACAGATCTAGAACAAATGATTGTTTTGTACCTCTAAATCATTGGTTTCTTAATAGCCAATATAGATGTCTTTTAATATTTTTTTTACTTAATTAATCTAACTTGATATGCATCTCGATTTTTGTTATCTTGTTACAAGTCGCAAACGCAAACCTAATAATTATTTGGTTATAAGTGTGACGAAAAAGGTTTGTTATTGCTTTCTTCCCAGCCCTTTTGTTTTATATTATTATGTCATGAAAATTATTATTACTTGAAGCACATCTTTCAGATCATATGAGTATGATGTTCACATGTTTATTTGTTGTTAATGTGCAATATTTTATTTCAGTAGGGTCGTAATGGATAAGAGTTGGATGCATAAACCAAGGTCTACAAAAGTATATAAAAATGGGTTAAACCAATTTCTAGACATGGCTTTTGCTAATGTATCTCTCAATGGAAAAATTATATGTCCGTGCAAATACTGTAAAAATGCAAAATGGGCAAGTAGAGAGATAGCAAAAGAGCATCTTCTTGTAGATGGATTTATTAAAGGTTATACGCATTGGGTTATACACGGGGAAGATACATCATCTAGTCAAACTAGATTTGATAATTTTGATCAATCTGATATGTTCGATGATATGGATGATTTGGTACATGATGCTTTTGGGATTAAAGGTCCAGATGAAAGCACGAGAGAAGAACCTAATGAACAAGCTAAAACTTTTTACAAGTTACTAGGTGATGCCCAGCAAGAATTATATCCTGGGTGTAAGAAGTTTTCAAAACTTGCATTTATTCTTCGATTATTTCACCTGAAATGCATGGGTAAATGGTCTAACAAAACATTTACACTGCTACTTGAGTTGTTGAAAGAGGCTTTTCCTGATGTGACTGAGTCTTATGCGAGAGATTCGTTTGACATGAATCCAGTCTCGAATTTCGATATAGATACACTTCATGCTAATAATGATTTTAATGCCCAATTGAATGATGGAGATGAACACATTTGGGTTAGGGGAGATGTAGATGGAGTTATGGTTTAGGAATTTTTTTTATTCCAACGAATATATACTTGAACTATAATTAAGTGTTCCTTTAATTTCTGCTTTCGAATTGTTTTAAGTGCATTTATTTGTCTACTCTTGCATTTTAATCTTTTATTTGAATCTCGTTGATGCTAATTATACACATTACTTGAGTTCTTGGTTGGTAAGTTATTTCTCTTAAAAAAATAATCTCTTTACTTAATAATGTTTATAATAACCTCATATATTTTTGTTTTGTTTTACTTTACAGATTATGGCTCCAAAAAATCGTCCTCCTCATAGCAAGCGTATAACGTGTGAAGCATTTGAGCATCCTGGCCAACCTTCCAACTTAAAATCTTGTCAAAATCGTATGTTCAGAATAAACTTAATTATATTGCTAAAAAATTACTTTTATGTTTTACTGGTTAATCATATTGTTTCCTGCATTAACTTATTTATTCTAAGTTACAGCAGGTCAACTAGGTGTGAATTCAAATCAACCAAAAGCACTTCCTTTCCTCTGACCAAACTCTAATTTTTTTTCTCACAATCATAATATTAAAACCAACTTAATTAAATTCTTCTGTTTTTCTTTTATGTTTCATCACTTAATCATATTGCTTATCCAATATATTTTTTTTATTTTAACACACTTCAGCTTGGTACGAGTTCAAATAAACTCAGAATTAAATTAATCATATTTTTGTATTTTTAGTAGTTAATTATATTCATGTTTCACTAATCTCTTTATTTTAAGTTCCCGGTGAACTAGGTAGGCATTCAACTCAGCTCAAATCAACAACTTCGCGATCTGACCAAGCTTCGAATTTAAACCGTAACCTCAAAATCGTCTTAATTATAATTTTAATTTTAATTTTATGTTTTACTACTTAATCATATTTTTTTATGCACTAACTTTCTCATGTTAAGTTGCAGGGCAGCTTGATATGAGATCAAATCGATCCAAAGCAACTACTTTACAGTCTAATGTTCATGTACCTACATGTCAAATAACTGATGGTGTTTTTGCTAATGCTTGTGATCCTACTGGCAATGACAATATGGTCGATATTGTGGAGAATGTGGTTGATATTGGTAGAAACTTTTCTTTATCGCAATTTACTGTATACTTTTGCTATTTTTGTACTTCAAATTGGTATATTCTTAATTAATGCAGTCGACAATAAACAAAAAAGGGTGAGAGGAGCTACTTGTATGCCTAAGGTTTGGGGACAACAACCGGATGAACTTGTTGTTGTTTCATTCAACGAACTTGGACAGCCAAAAGATCAAGATAAGACAAGCACTTTGTCTCATTTTTTGGGTACGATTGCTAGGAATGGAAGATATTGTCCCCTTAACTATGAAGATTGGAGACTGATGCCTTATTCATATAAGGAAGAAATGCTTAAGATTGTAAAGGTAATGAATCAAATTTTCAGATATTTTAAATCTAGTTGAAGGTAATGAATTAGTTTTAAACTAGTGTAAATATATATCTTATTGATGTTAGTATTTTATATGCGTAGGCAAGATTTGAATTACCACCGGGACATGAAAGTTACATTTTGAGGTCCATAAACAAAAAGTGGAGAAATTGGAAAAGTTCTGTGAAGAGTTTGAATTTTGATCCAGATATCTCTACTGATCAACAAACAACCAAAATACCCGATCGAGTCAATGAAGATCAATATAAGTCTCTAGTTCATCACTGGATGTCTGATAAGTCGAAGGTATGAATTACACATCACTATAATTAATACATATCACTCTTACTTTTTTTTATATATAATTTATGATATTATTATTATTTCCATGTCTTCACTTTACTCTCATACTTAAAACTCCTACTACTTTAGGAACGAAGCAAAAAGAATAAAAATAGTCGTGGTGAGCTAAAGTTGTTTCATTGTATGGGCAAGAAAAGTTTTGCTGTGGTGAAAGAAAAATTGGTAATATTATTTCTTGTTAATTAATATTACTTTCTTGTTTATGATTAATATTTAACTTTTGAATATAATTACTAATTTATATGTAGAAGGAAAAACTTGGAAGATATCCTACACGAGCGGAATTATTTGAAGAATGCTATTATAAGGAAGATAGTTCATCGACAAGTGAGGCGGTAAAAGGAGTAGTTGTAAGTTTATGTATATAATTTAATTTAGATAATATTTTTATATTTTTTTATGTTCGTAGTTTGCTTGACAGGGGTAGTATTTTATTTACATTTACTTGGATGACTAACTTTGTTTTAGGGAAAAATGAGACAACTAGCTCCTCAATATTCTCAAAACATAGACAATCACCAAGATAGCAACATGTACAATGATGATGATTTATTTGCAAAAGTAATGGGTAAAGATAAGGATGGACATGTACGCATGTATGGATTGGGAGTTACACCAGCTGATGTTTATGGGGAAAAACCTAGCCGTTCTACGCTTCTTAGGAAGGCCATGGAGTACAAAACGAAGTATTTGGAAGCAATGAAAAAATATGATACATTGTCAGCAAATGTTCACGTAGGTCAATCAGATGGACAACTTGAAGCTGAAAGCTTTCCAGAACAGGAAATTGCTCCTGAAAAATCTCCAATCGCGACTCCAAATGAACAAAATGATTCTTTTTATGTTCCTAATGCATTTTTAAGTGAGCAAGTTGGTGCTCAAAGTCCTTCGTTATCAGTTTCAAATGAGGAACACTCATTTAGAACAAGTTCACTTTCTACGTCTATCAAGGTAACAAAAATAAAACATGTAATTTGTTATATATATAATTTTTTGTATATATTTGATGCACTAATTAGCAAAAACTCGTTCACAGGGTGGTTCTTATGTTGTTTTGAAAAGTCTTGCAAATATGAATGAAATAGTGGCAACTGGTATAGTGGACAAGATGGACCATATCAGCGTAAATGGAATAGATTTGGGGCCCGACTTTTGCCAAGTTGTCATTCAATATCCGGTAAACAAAGATGCAAGATTAGTTTTACCCTATAATCATATTCAAACCATTGGAAATGCTATCGGAGTACCAGTTGCTTGGCCCATATCATTGGTATGTCTATTTGATCCTTCAACATCTTTATCTTATTTTTATATCTACATTATCGTCTTTTGTTGATGCTTAATATTAACTTATTGGGAGATATAGATTGAACTTGTTATCTCTGTTAGTTAATGTTTGTTGGTAAATATTTTAATTTTGCTTTACTTACATAATATTGATACTTAAATGGACCAAATGCATGGATTTTTTTGATATACTGTTGAATTCAACCATGAACAGTACAATGAAATATAACTACCACCAGATCATTTTTTCAATTTACAACTTTGAATTTTAAGTACATTGGTGACCTTAAAAAATAGGAATATAATTGTCAGCAAGAGTTTGATTTCATGCAGAGTGAATGGTTTCCTTTACATAGACAATTGATTTAGTTTTTTTTTTTGGTAATCTATTTTATTTATTGGTTTTCTTTTCATAGGTCTAGTTGATTTGGTAATCCTTTTATTATTCTAGTCTATTCTCTTTACTGATGGTGAATGAATTTGTTGATATATGTAGTAAATTTGTCTGAATGGAGATAATATTTTACTATTTATTTATAATTAATACATATTTGTGTACATGCAGGTCGCTTTGGATGATGAATTTCATTATTAATAAAATCAAGGCGATGGGGGTTGAATCATAATTTGAGTTCGTAGTGTAGTGCGAGCATATAATGATTTGGTAACACGATGTTTTTCATCTTTTTTTTTCAAATAACTTAGGACACTGAATTTGATTCTAGATTTTGTCTCACTATTGTTTTGTTAGAGAATTTCTCGTATCTTTGAATATTGTTGTTCTTTGGAGATTGATTATACTAATACTTTGCCTTCATTGTTGAAACTTTTGAATGTTAATTTTTATTTCTTATATGCACGTTTATTTTCTATGTACTTTTAAAGTGTAGTTATAGCATGATTTAGATTATGCATGTGGATTGGAAGTTTAGTTTGGATACTATCATATGATATTCCAAAAATTAGTTACGACATTTGATTTTACCCATTTAATAAGAATTTTGAGCATCCTGTAATATTTATTTGAATATTTTTAAATATTGTAAAATTTATTCGATTTAAAAATAATTGTGCTGATAAGATTTTAATAGGATATTAAAAAATGTCCTTATAAGTATATTAAGAGACAATTATAAATGTCGTATGACAATCTTTTGGAGACACATATAGATATATGTTCTCTATAATAAGTGTCCCAACACAGTTTATTTATTACGCGTATTATATATTTAGGAGACACATATTTGTGCCTCAAAAATAGTCTATTTGGACATATATAAGTGTCTCGAAAGGAATTTGTTTTAAGGGCATAAATAAGTGTCCCATGAGCTATTGCGACATACAACTACGCGACACATATTTTTTTTGCCCCTAAAACTATAAGTGCCTCAATATGGTATATGTTGGGACGTTTATTTGTGTCCTTATAAGCACATTTTGTTGTAGTGAATACACGCGGAAGTGGGTTATGATTAATTTAGCATCTCAGGTTAATAATCCAGGTTAATTGCTTGCATAATTGAAGGAATTGGGGGAGTAATATTTACATAGGGGGAACGATAAAATCCTAGGCTTGTTTACTTTGATTAATCTTCGTGTTTAAATTGCTTTCTTGCTTTGTCTTTTTAATTTGCTTTAATTTAGTTTATTTTAATTTAGTTAAATTTCTCTAAAGTCGACTGTGTAGGGTTGGCTTGATAGCAATTGGTAGGATTTAGCGTCTAGAATTAAATAGTTAAATATTCTCTGAGGGATCGATATTCAGACTTTTAGTCCACTATATTACTCGTACGATACATGCACTTGCGTGTAGGTATTATCACCAACATCCTTCCGGGGTGAGAGTGGAATAAATTAGCAATTCTTACCACTGGGCCAACCAATATGTTTGAGTAAAAGTAGACAGTAAATATATATAATATAAAACTTCGATGTAAAATGATTTGGCGTCGGGTTCGGGATTCACAGCATCAACTAGATAGCCAAAATGCCCTTTATGAATGAGTTTGACGACTTTTATGGCGGAGATCATTGGAATCGAAGTTTTGGCTTGGCTTTGGAATTTTAAGATTTGGCCGTTTGGAAGAGGAAAAATAACTGTTTTCGGAGCACAGTCAATTTGGGCTTTATATTCGGTTAACCAATCCATTCCTAGAATGATATTAAAATTGAGGATTGGCAGGACAATGAGGTCGAAATTCATAGGTTGTGAATGAACTCGGATTGAACAGTTGGTCAGTACTAGGTTCGGGATCATTTCTTCGCCAGAGGGACTGAGTATACTATAGTCGTGATTCAAGCGACTAGGTTTGATCTTAAGGCTTGTAATCATATTCTCCGATATGAAAGAGTGAGTAGAACCGGAATCAATTAAGGCATAGACAGGTTCGTCGAAAATGTATATAGTACCTGCTATCATTGAGGGATCTTGATCAATCTGCTCCTTTGTCATAGCAAACACACGTCCTTGGGCACGATTCGGAGCGTTCGGACAATCCCTTGCTATGTGTCCGGTCTTTCTACATCTGAAGCACATGTTCGTCCCTTGTACACAAGCTCCAAAGTGTGATTTCCCGCATTGTTGGCAAGTTGGTTTGGGCGGCTGTGGGAGTCCAGATTGATTCGATGGTTGGCTTCGGATGCCCTTGAATTTGTGGTTGCCGAAGTTAGCCTTCTTCCATGGGCGTTGACTCGTGCCTTGAGATCGACGGTTCTGTTGGATCTCCTTTTCGTCTTGGGCTGCCATCAGGGCTTTGTCCACTAGTTGTCTGAAAGTCGAGGCGTCGGACATACGGATATCTCGTCGGATTTCAGGTTGTAGGCCACGGATGAAGTGATTCTTTTTCTCTTCGGGATCTCGAGCGATGAATGGGGCGTAGAGACAGCCACGTTCGAAGCGAGGGATGTATTCGAGCATCGGCGGTTCACCTTGACGAAGTTCTAGAAATTCCTTCAGTTTGTGGGCACGTGCGTCTTTGGAAAAATATTTTTCTAAGAATTGTAGTTTGAAGTCGGTGCATTGTATAGTGTCGAGGTCGACTCCTTCTTTGACTCCTTCCCACCAGTGACGAGCTTCATTTCGAAGTAGGAAAAGAGCGCATTTCACACGATCACGATCGGCCATTTGCATGTAGTCGTAGATTACTTCTAGGGATTTGACCCATTCTTCGGCTATCGTCGGATCGGTTCCACCATGAAATTCAGAGGGGTTCATTTTGAGGAATTGTTCGTAAATCGCGTGAGGTGCTGCTTCAGGAGGAGGCGGAGGAGGATGGTTTCGTCGGAGAAGTTGGTCAATTTGTCTTTGGTGGTTTTGGGCTTGTTCTCGAATAAGGTTCGAGAGGTTATGGATGGTTTGGTTATGGTCGGTTGGTTCATTAGTGGGAGTGTCTTGGGAACTCCGGGTTAGTCGTCTTGCCATAATTTCTATAACCTATTATGCAATTTATAAGTAAAGCACATAAATAAATAAGACATATAATACACATAACGTTACCTGATGGGCGAGTTTATCCTGTCTCGTTAGTCATCAAGCCCAGCTTTCGGTTCGTATGAGTTTTCTATAAACAACGCTCTGATACCACTCTTATAGCACCCCCCTCAGGTCGGGCGATAAATCGAACCGGTTTATCGGAAAACTTTACTTAGATAGCGGAAGCAAAAGGGATCTCTTTGTAATTTTTAAAACTTTCGAGTAGGACCAAAATGTAATTTCTAAAAATCTCTTTTTGGGTCATTAAATTAGCATTAAATTATCAAACCATGCCTTTTAAAGCACCAACATTTTTATCTTTTCATTAATGGGATTTCTCCCCCTTTTATTCATTTAATGAATTAAAATTCTTACAGCCCCTTAACATAGTTCAGCTGCAGATTTTTAACCATCAACTCACATTCTCACAATTAATACACAAGGCATAATGATTAAAACACAAAAGTTCCATTTATGACACATGCACAACCAATATTTCGAAATAATAGAAAATGGCATCTAAAAATTCTCAAATTTTATTATAGGCTGTCTAACTGACTAAATGAACAGATGCAAAAAGAATTTTGCAGTTTCCTCAAAAATCGGGTTTATAAAAATTAAAATACTGGGCAAGTAGTGTTGAAGCCAAAAATGATTTTTCCAACAAATTTTAATCCCAAACTATGAACAAATAGAAAATAACAAAATTCCACTTATTCCTACTGAGATTTTAAAGGTGAAAACATTTTTCAGGCTGAAATTTCAAGAAATTGCAGATTAGTCCCAAAGATTCATAGATCTACACAAGCAACCCCAAAAATCTTGAAAACTCATTTTCCTTTTCCAAAATTCCCAAAAATTTGAAATATTAAACCTTTAAACACAAAATTCTTAGATTCACAGATCATAACATGGACTGGACATGCAAGAACAAAAATACCAAGATGAGCACAAGATTTCGGATTTTACACAAAATGCCCTAATTTTTCGAAAAGTGAGGAAATCTTTTAAGTAGTTTTGAAAATCCTTTTCCATACTATGATACCCTTTAATTGCAGCAAGAAATTCGAGATTTCTTACCTATCAAAGAGTGTTGGCCGAAGAAAGAAAAACCTTCAAAAGAAAAGAGGGTTTTTAGAGGAAGAAAAGGAGGATGAAGAAAAATGAAGAAAACGAAGATACAATGTTACCTCCTTCAAGAAGTGGCTCCAAGATTGAACCAAGCTAGTTGAATGGAGAAGGTAAGAGCTTTGATATCAAGTTGGGAGGAGTTTGAATCTCCCGTAAGAGGGCAAGTGTTTTTGATGGTGTCTCTTGAGAGGACTAATCCACATTGAGTGTTGGATTAGTGTAAATCATCACACTTTGACTATTTGACATGTGGACAAGCATGCATCTTTTTCTAATTTACTTACTAATTAATAAAATCACAAATACCTCCTACACACACACACATCCGAAAACACACACGTATATATATTTAAATATGTATTTCACCTATGTATGTCTAGCATGCATAGGCATGTAGCTATATGGGTATATACGTGTATATATATATATATATATATATATATTTATGTGCATGCATGTATTATACTATGCATTATAAGACACTTATAGAATTAAATTAAAATGCCACAAATTAATTAACTATAACACATAAGTCACATAAATTAATCTAGCACGTAATTATCAATAATTAATCCATTTAAGCACATATCGAAATAAAGTTGGCACATAATTATTCAATAAATTCCTACCACATAAGGCATATAATCAAATTGGCATATACGGATTATTAGTCTAAGCAATATAAAGCACTTAAGGAATTAAGTTAGTAGAATTCCTAATGATCTCTACGTGAGATTTTTCGGGTTATGGAATTTTGGTTAGGGATTAGGGTTTCGAAATGTGGGGTGTTACATATAACTTTGATTTTAACCAATATAATCTAATAATAGAGGGTCTGTAGAAAATTACCCCAATATTTTATTGTTAATAAAAAAGGGGGTTTTGCGCATAAGTTCCTAACCAAGCATGTTTATTATTCTAGGTTTAGGGTCTTTTGTTTTACCAATACGCCCACCCCTTTAATATTTATTATAAATAAAGGAAAAATTCATGTATATGAAAAAATTCATGTATATTTTTTATTATTTTTTTTCGACGCCGGATTCCGACGTTGACTTTTTTTTTTTTAAGTTTTTAACGCCGCCGGATTCTGGCATTGACCGCCGGTCTTCGCGTTCAATTATTATTATTTTGTTTTAACGCCAGCCGCTAGTGTTGACGTAATTGTGCTGTCATTAACGGTAATTATACTGTCAGTGACAGTAAATTAACGTAATTATACTGTCACTGATAGTACATTAACGTAAGTGTACTGCCGTTGACAATACATTTATGTAATTATACTGTCGTTGACAGTACAATTAGAGTCAATGACAATATTATTTTTTTTTTTTGTTATTTTTTTTTTATTTTGTTTGATTTGTTGACAAGTCAATGTAATTATATTACTGTCGTTGACAGTAAAATAACTGTAAACACAATAATATTATTGTCAACCACTTCAATATTATTATTATTTTGGGGTTTTTTGTTTTGTTTGAGTTACTCACGGAGTAACGTAATATTATTACTCTCTATTATTGTAATATTACTGTAAACACAATAATATTACTGTGGTTGACGTTAATATTACTGTTGTTATAGTAATATTATTGTCAACCACATCCATATTATTATTTTTTTGGGTTTTTTTGTTTTGTTTGAGTTATTCACGGAGTAACGTAATAATGTTAATTTCTATTATTGTAATATTACTGTGGTTGACGGTAATATTACTGTTATTATAGTAATATTACTGTCACTCGATGTAATATTAATGGTCAACATATTAATATTACTATATTACACAATAATTTTGAGTTTTGTTGTGTTAATATTACTGTGCTAGAGATTAATATATCAATATTATTGTGTTCAACAGTAGTACAGATAATTTAACTGTATTTAACAGTAATATAGTTAATAATACTGTCAATCACATCAATATTGTTGTTTGAACGGGGGAAAAAAGATGTTAAAGAAAAAAATTCGAAAAAGTCAACGCTGGAGACATGCATTAACCGTCGATCAACACCGGATACCGGTGGTGGAAAAATCAGGAAGAAAAAAAAAAGTTAATGCCGGAGACAGGCGGTCAACAGCGGTTGACCTACGGTGACGGACGAAATTGTACATAAAAATTTGTTTTTGGTCAAAATTGAATAATTTATAAAATTTGGAGTCAATTTGATCAGATTAAATTAAATGATTAAAATTGGAGCATACTAAAATATGATGGGCTATTTTAGTCTTTTACAAACCTCCGGACCATGTGTGGATTTTTTTGTAAAAAACTTTATTATCTAGAACTCTTTCTGATAGGGGTGAGCAAAAAAACCGAGAAACTGAAAAATCGAACCGAAAACCGAAAAAACCAAGCCGATATATACCGTCCGGACTTAAAACCGCATATATGGTAAATTTTTTTTGAAAAACCGAAAACATTGGTTTGTGTATGGAGAATAAAAAAATTACCGAACCGATTTCCCGAACCGAACCGATTTATACAAAATGATGTTTTTTTTATATATAGTATAGATACGTACCTTAGCGTGCCTCTATCTTTCCAGCGCCTCAATATGACATGTTTTTCTATTAATTAATTTTGGTTGTGACGTGTTTATTATTAGTTAATTTTCGGTTGTTATTTGTTAATTTTCTCAAATAGATATTGTGACACCCCTTAGCGATGGAGTGGCAAACCGGGACGGTTTGCCATGCACGGAAGCTTGTGGGCATAATATACGTCTTTCGACATATGGGGAGACCCCAAGATTTAAGAAAACGTTTTTCAAGACCTAAGACTTAAAGACGAAATGGGCTTTGGAAGAAGAGTTTCGCCGAAAGGATTTAGTTGAATAGGTGAGCTTATGTCTAACTACTCCCTTTGACCAATAAAGGAACTGGAATTGGTGTCACCTTGATAATACATATTGATAATATAGGAGAGGGTTATAGTAAATTAACATATTTAATTTTTCATGAAATGGAACTTACTTAAAGGGAAATGTCATACATGGACCATAACATAACAAAAAGGGTCCATCTTCGGAGGAATTAGCCTCCTCTACCACGGATAATAATACACATGAGCTACTACGGAAATAGTAATTGTTCTAAGGACAATATAAACAAAAGATAGTACTACAAGCATTATAAGTAGATCCTCCATACGAGCCAAAAACCCGGAGTCGGCCTCTCGAACCGTCGACTAGTCCAATCCGGTGGAGTGAGTAGTACTAGTACCTGCAAACGGAGAATATCTATATGAGCTAACAAAGCTCAGTAAGGATCTCGAAAGATACCGAGAATTTAAAATATAGTCATACTACATATACTATATAATAATATCACAAGTATAACGACACTTAACACAATTTACATTTCTAGGACATAGAGTTCATGAACTATATAAAAAGAAAGAATCTTCGTTTTATCGGATCCGATGAGAAGTTAACTTCTTTACTTAGAAAACAAGAAGATTATTCTGAGCCCGTTTTGGTGGAATCAAACCACCCAACTGTAGTATCTATGGTTGGAATACCGGCCCCCCGTATCCTTTCTCATCTTTTCTAAGTATTTCATTAATCTCCCCAATTTATTTTATTTAATATCAAAAGTGGCGTGGTCGAATTATTTAAAATCCCCTTTGAGTACCTAGAGCATACCAATATTCCACAACAGCCCATAATAAATTTGAAACACCACAAGACATCACAAATATCAATCAAGTGACAATTAAACACATATTTCACAAAAGATTAACTATTATCAAATTGTGCATTCAAGCATACTTACCCAAGAATATAACACAAAACTATTAAGGACCAACCTATTTT